CTGGTAACTGTTGGATTAACTGTTAGATGAACTGGTAACTGTTGGATGAACTGGTAACTAATTCTGTAATTCAGAGAGAGTGAATGTTTGTCTCTGTGTCCCTCTGATGGACTGAGACCTGTCCAGGTGTCCCCACTGTTTGCACAGTGACCGCTGGATGTAGAGACTCCAGGTAGGACCGGACCAGGTCACACCTGAGGTCCAAACTGTGTGTCGTTGGTTCAGTTTGTCCCAGGAGCTCAGCAGTCCGGACCAGAGTGCCGAGCTGAGACTGCAGAGCAGATCCGTGGTCTGGCAGATCCCTCGGTTCACCGGAGGAACTCAGCTGTCTGCTCTGTTCAAGGTGCGCACGTGTCTGCACACACACACACACACACATGCATGTTCTTGTAAACATACTTTTTGGGACTTTGAATTGACTTCCATTCATTTTCTATAACCTAACCCTGACCTAACCTTAAACCTAACCATTACTAGTTCATCCCTAACCCATCTGCAATTCACACCTTAGTCCTAAACCTAACCCCCAACGAGACTCCTCCTTATGGGGACCTGGCTTTGGCCCCCATAAGGAGGAGTTGGTTCCCACAATGCATGATTTTTTGTAAAATTGGTCCCTACCAGTTAACCTGAAACAAAAACGTGCACGCACACACACACAGCATTCCAAAACAAATCCATCAAGGACCCAGGTCCTGAGCGCTGCGTCCCCTGGTTTTGGCTGACAGCTTCCTGCACTTCCTGTCCTCAGCTGGAGGTTCCTGGTCTCAGCTCGGCCTCCATGTTGGAGGTCGGCCCGGTGGGTCTGAGCTTCGAGCTGCCAAAGTACACGGCCACCGGGCTGCAGATCCGCTTCCTCCGCCTGTCCCCGATCCAGCCCAGCCCGTCTCAGCGCTGGGTCCGATACGTGACCCACTCAGACTCCTACATCCTCCGGATCTGATCAGCAGGAAGCAGCCAGGGGAGGACAGGTGAGAAGACGGAGCTAGAGAAGCTAAATCACCTGTGCAGGTACAGAGGGAAAACTGAACGACTGCCAGAGTCTACTGAAGAACTGAAACTGGGTCTGTGAAGGGAAGAGAACAGGAGCTGAAAACTGAATCGATGCTGAAAGCTAAAATAGCAACGACTAGCTAAAAGCTAAAGTAGAAAAATGCTAGCAAAAAGTACAGAAACAAGAAAACGTAGTAAAACACCAGCCCAACACTAAAAACGGCAAAGTAATGAGTTGTATTTGAATTAGTACAATTAGCAAGAGTACCATTATCTGTAGTAGCATTAGAAGAATCAGTAGTCGCAGTAATGGGCACAGTACCACTAACAGCACAACAAATTTTTCATTTAGCTGATGAGCGTTTTCGCTAACTTTGGAAATCGTTAGCAGAATTAGTTTCTGCTAAATTAGGTTTCGCTAACTTCAAATTCACCAACAGAGTTTACAAGTTTGTTCCTGTCTGTTGTGGGCGTGTCTCCATGAGTCTGTTAGACACGCTATTGACTGACAACCTGTAACCGTGACAAGAATTGATTGGCCTCGGCTGCTCTCTGCCTCGGCTGCTCTCGGCTGCTCTCGGCCTCGGCTGCTCTCGGCTGCTCTCTGCCTCGGCTGCTCTCGGCCTCGGCTGCTCTCGGCCTCGGCTGCTCTCTGCCTCGGCTGCTCTCGGCCTCGGCTGCTCTCGGCCTCGGATGCTCTCTGCCTTGGCTGCTCTTGGCCTCGGCTGCTCTCGGCCTCGGCTTCTCTCGGCTGCTCTCTGCCTCGGCTGCTCTCTTCCTCGGCTGCTCTCGGCTGCTCTCTGCCTCGGCTGCTCTCTTCCTCGGCTGCTCTCTTCCTCGGCTGCTCTCTTCCTCGGCTGCTCTCTGCCTCGGCTGCTCTCGGCCTCGGCTGCTCTCGGCTGCTCTCGGCCTCGGCTGCTCTCGGCCACGCCCACTTCTCCGCTGCAGAGATCTGACACGTTGCAGGAAGGAACTCCTCTGCAGCCGTGGGCAGCACACAGACCTGTGCACCTGTGCAGCAGGTGCTAAATAATGTTAAATAATTTATTTAAAATAAAAATTCTGTGCCGATCATGCGGCTCATCCATCAGTGTGTCATGTCCAATCTTTGAAAAACCTCGATAAAGTGAGTCCGCTCAAAACGAACCATGAAGTAGCGATGGACTACTGTATTAGCAATTTAGAAATAGTAAAAATTAAAATTAACAGTATAGGTGTTAGCAAGTGTTAGCAGCAGAAATATGCTGAAGTAGATTTAAAAAAATAATATTTTGAAAGACTTGAAACAACATTTGTGTTTTTTCATTCGCTGATGTTTTTGTAAATAAATTTTTAATATTTTGAAAAGTATAAAAAAAGTAAAAGCACCCATCTCCTTAATGAGCTGAATGTTTCGAAAAAGCAAAAGCTAAAATGGAAAACGAAGAGTTTGAAGCTGACACCAAAAACAACAGAATAAATGCTGAGTCAGCGTCCAGACTGTAAATTATTCAGAATAAATGCTGAGTCAGCGT